AAACAGGCGACTTTGTGTACCTCTAACTGGTTGCAAATGGCTTTTTGGAGATAAAAACCTTGCTACAGGTAGCTCTAAAAATTCTATGTGGAATAGGCTATATATCAAAAGCAAGCGCTATCCTGGAGCAGCACAAATTTCCTTCGAAATCCTGCCAGAGCAACTTCACCAATGGAGGAGATGGGAAATCAATCAAAACACTCATGGTTGTCACGTGGTAACCCAACCCGCATTTCCTGTTGCTACGCCCCGTTTCCAATCCCTTTCATTTACTCTATTATCTATGCAATAATGCAGCAAGACAATGTAAGAGGGAAGCTTCAGGTTTTTTTCTCTTCTTCTAAGCGCTATATGATGTTATAATGGCACAAATACTGTTGCCTAGATAGATTGAGTGACTTGAGAGAGTTTAGGATCCTTAGATTAGTGAACTAACTGCTACAGCACTTCACTCGGGATAAAATTCGAGTAGCTATAACTCACCAACAAGATTTAAAGAGTTCCACACAAATGAAATGAATAAATAGTCTTGATCTACTGGGGGGGAGAGTCTCATTTACCTCCAGAGTACTACCGCTATTGCTGGGCATTTTCTCGTGAGTTAAAAAGCTTGTACTACCTAGAGCTGCTCTCTAAACATCTCGAGGCAGTAAAGCAAGACTTTTCCTAACAGAAGAGAAGCTCTCACAGATTTAGAGCACGCGATTGTAAAGATATACATTCTCAAAGACAAAATATAGCACACAGAATGAATGACAGACAGACAACTGAGTACCTAGTCCTCGCCTACGCAAAGCTGGGCGAGGCCAACCAGTAAAATACTGTATAGATATAGTGCAAAATTTTCAAGAGCTGTATTTCACAGTTCTGGAGTGCCTTGAAAAGTGAGTTTGAGGTGGAGGCGGGCTCTAAGATTACTTCCATGAAATCAAATTACCGTAAATGTTCAAATAAAGGCCGGGCTTGAATAAACACCTTGGTAAGAATCTCCAAGTCAGGGTTGGGGTCGATTACAAATTCATGATTACGATTACGCACCTGTCATTAAAAGTGATTACGATTACGATTACACAGCTGTCATTAAAAGTGATTATGATTACGATTACACCCCTGCCATTTGGTATGATTATGATTACGATTACGTCCCTGTATTAGACATTATTATGATAGAAAAATTTTTGCTCAAAATTAGTGTTGCATCTTATAAACATGAGTTTTTTAAACAAAATACATGTATTTGATAGGCAACATCTTTCAAGCCGAAAAATTTTTTCCACCCATATAGAGAAAATTTCTCAACAGATTCACTAGATGCAGGTGTTATTGCTAACAATATGAAATTAAATGATCATTTTGAATGTCATAATTATGGGTATGATTATAATTATGATAAGTATCGAACTTTAACAAAAATGTGATTACGATTACAATTATTATTATTATTAAAATTTTAAAATGTGATTACGATTGTGATTATGATTACATTGAAACATGTAATGATTACAATCGATTACAATTGTAATCATAATCAGCCCCAACCCTGCTCCAAGTATAGATACGCACATTTTACTCATTAGGTACCACAACCTTTAGAGTGTCCCAAATGGCCTAACCTTCGAGTTCCAGGTTCAAATCCCCGTTTTACTTTTCTATTTTATGCAATTTTTTGTCTTGGAAAGAAATGAATGCCTGGGCTTTTATTTGAAAATTTATGGTATTACAGTACAAGATGGCAGACAGCATAAATTTATGAAAATTAAATCTGCAAAGGGATTTTAAAGCAAATCTGCGAAAGTTACAGCCATCAAAAACTTTGTGCTATACGGTAATACTTACCTCCTATTTCAGATAATTGTTGATCCACATAATTAGCCCTTTCTTCACTAAGGATGGCAAGTTGCCTTTGTCTGTTTCCTAATAATTTTCAACAAAAGCCTCAATGCAAAACAATAAGCAAGTACAGATATAATGCATTAAACCCAACACTAAAATGAATGCTTACCTTCATTGTAAGAATTAGCTCCTAATCTCAACAACAATGTTGCCTCAAAATCATCTCCTGAATCCAAAAGTGATTTTTCAAAATTAATATCAGTGCTATCTATACTCAACATGGTCCTTCCATTGATAGCAACTTCAAATATACCAATTCTATTCATTGAGCTTCTCTTGGCAATAAGTATATCTGTTACAAACTGTAAGGTTGAGGTTGGTATCAGCATCTTAATAATGAGTGATCCATAATCAAAGTAAATGTGACTAAAGAGATCAGCATTTGATCCAAAGTAATGACTAAGGACTCTCTTAAAATTTTCTAAAGTCATTTCTTCCCATCTGCTGTGTAGCTCAAAAACAACGAGTACGGTGCGTTCACCAGTAGTTGGGGATGATAAAAACAGTAGCTTTTCTTTGATGGCTGATCGAATGTGCTTCAATTGGGATAATTCTAAAAGGTTATCCATACTACCAATATATTGTGATAAAGACAACTGCAATTCATCACCAGCAAGAAACTTATTGATGAGCTTTCTAAGTAAGCTACAGTTGAGAAAATCATAATGAGGCTGAAGAGAGTCAAATAATTCATCAATGTCATCTGCTTGTAAGCTTTTCACTGGCCTTCGTAAATATTCTGCAGCTTGTCGAGCAACTTGTATTAATTTTAATTTACCCTCGGATACTAATTCTTCAAATCGATTCCTAAGATCTGTAACAAGGTCAGAAAATTGGTCGTAGAGACTATCAATGTTTTGTGCTACTTCATCTTTAGAGCTGAATTGAATCACAGTTGGTGATTGGGAAATGGCTGCTTTAAGTGGCCGGATGTGGGTCTTTACTCCTAAAAATTGGCATAATTATTAGAATTTTCTGAAACCACCCAATTATACTTACCAAGACTTTGCTGAAGTTTCATAGCCATGTCAGTGAGGCCAACCTTTTCCAATGAAGTAACAAGCCCACGGAAGACACTGCTAGGATCAGAATGAGCTCCAATTGTAGAAAAAACTGAATTAATAAGTTGAGTGGCTCTATCTAAAGGACTTCTCTTCTGATTGAGATGTACCTCTTTAGGAATGAGACCAGATGAGAAGAGGTGGTTTGAAAATTGTGTAATGACTGGAGCATTCCCAGCTAATAAATCAATAACATCAGCGAGATGATCTTTAAGTATAATGTATTCTGGAGCATCTACAAAGGAAAATCAAATGAGTTTAGCAAGAGTAAATGTAAATCTACCTGTGTTTGCCATAGGAGTAGGACTGTATTGAATGATCTGAATGAAGCTAGCTGAAGCCCCACCCAGGCACGCCCATTATGGTAGGATATGGCGAATGCAATGTAATAATAATTAATAATAATTAATAATAACAATAATTAATGAGATAGAAGGTTTGAGCAGTACTTATAACCAAAAAAGCTCCAATTAGACCACCCATAATATGTTCATTTGGAATGAAATTACTAAGTGCAACTGATCCAACCATTGCTCCTGTTCCTATTCCAATCCAATGCAAGAACGTAATATGCTCAATCCAACACTAGATCTTGTATCATAACCTACAAATACAGGTAAAGTGATCACTGATTATTTATTCTTACCAAATGATGATATTTGTTCAATAATTGGCTCTGGGCCTACAGTCAAAGCACTTACTGCTCCAAAGAAAACGGACGCAATATGCGTCTCAGTTATAACGAAAATTTAAAAATGAGTCAGCCATACTGAAACTCACACTTATAGCAGTAATAAATAATGATAATATTAACCCTATCCCCAACAATGTACGAGCAACATCTACAGCAATCCTATATCTAGTAACTCTGCGAGAATGGCCACCTAAAGTATATAATTTTAACAATTAGCAATATTATTATTATTATTATTATTATTATTATTATTACTATTACCAGGATATCCCATTAATTTGTCAAAAGCTGTGGTCCCTGCAAATGCTCCCACTGAGCCCCCTATTGCAAAACACATGAAAAATGTACCATCAACACCATTAATCTTTATAATAAGTCTAGTGACAGCCATTCCACAAACTCCTCCAAAAATAGTAGCAGAAACTATACTGAGGCTTCGATTTCTTAGCATAAGTCTCCCTGAATAGCCTAGAACAATCATCATTAATTTTTTCTCGGCTTACAATGCCAGTATTGATTATATGGCATATGTAAATCACATAAATGCTTACCTAAAACTAGAGCTAGAAATTGGTTGAAGCTAACTGTTGCAGATGCTGCCAATATGTTGATGAGTGAGTTTTCTCTAATAGTAATTATCATCTATAAAAAAATCCACAATCAAGAATAACAAAAAGAGCTTGGCAATTATTAGACATTAATTTAAAGAATTTACCTGCTATTTCAGGTAATCGTTGACCCACGTAAATAGCCATCTCTTCACTATTGATGGCAAGTTGCCTTCTTCCTCTGTATCCTAATGGTTATAACAATTTTCAATAAAGGCTTCAATGCAATACAATAAGCAAATACAAATATAATGTATAAAACCCAAGACTAAAATGAATGCTTACAGAGCATCTTCAGTAATGATCACTATAATGATCACTGATTTTATTCTTACCAGATAATGGTTGTCCAACAATTGGCTCTGGGCCTACAGTCAAAGCACTTACTGCTCCCATTAATGCTCCAAAGAAAACAAACACAGCATAAGTCTCATAGTTATAATGAAAACTTATAAATGATCCCTTCACACTAAAATATACTCTTATAGCAAGAACAAATAATATGATTATTAATCCTATCCCCAACAATGTACGAGCAATGTCTACAGCAATCCTATATTTATAGTAACTCTGTGTTGCTGTGAGAATGTAGTCTCGCCATCTAAACCATTCCCCAGCCTACATACAGTTATTTGGGTGGGGAGGGTTTGGGAAGCAAGAATACCTCGGGACTGCATCCCTCAGTAAAATAAATCCCATAGCAACCTCGATGTTACGGTGTATAACCTATACTTATCACTATTCTTGTTATTAATTACAGGGTACAATATTAGATAGGATTGATTACAATGTTGAGAGGATCGACACTTAATTTATAAAGTCACTGAAGGCATCAAACAACTGGAAAAGGTAACAGTTTATAAAATTAATTATTATATTACATTACATGTATGTACATGTACATGTAGTTCAAACTTTTGAGCATAAAAAACTTACACATATACCTCTACATGTAAATGAGAAAACAAAATTTTACGATTAAAACTTAAGGCTAGTTTATAGAGTTATATGTACACATTGCTTTTACATAATTTTAAAAAACCATGCAGTCTTATGAATATGAGCATATGAGCCATAGACCCATGCAACTATAAAATTGTTGTAATTGTTCTACTTTACCTTATAGCCCCTACAACAGCCTTACAACACTGAACACTGTTTCAACAATTGTGGAGTTAGCTAGCCCAGGTCTATCTCTACAACAGTTGTATGCTAACCACAGAACACATACAACAGCCACAACTATATGGAAACCAGGATTTAGTCTTCCTATTACTAATCTCTCCCAGTCAGATTTGTTCTCAGATTTGCCCTAAACATACAAAGCTAGATCTATATAGCTTACAGCTTACAATCCTTACTGACCACTACTGATCATGGCTTTATCTAAGGGACCACATGCACAGCTCATAACTGTCTTTTCCTTCTTCCCCTCCCCCCCTCTCTCTCCCTCCCTCGCCCCTCCCTCCCCCCTCTCTCTCTCTCTCTCTTCCTCTTAGGCTGAAAAGCATCAGAAGAGATCAATCAATTCAATTGCTATAATAGTATTAATAGTTTAATAGTAGTGGCTATTAATTGTTACTTTTAAAAGGAGAAATTTAATCTAAAACAAATGTCAGACATTGTATCATGTGTTTAACTATTGTGTAAGCTGTTACATATTAAGTTTTTAAGTTTTAACTCTTGAAATAATTAATTTATTGTCACTATTGGTAGTGGTTTGTGTGGTTGTTCTTTTTTGTGTCTATCAATCAATGTCTTCTTTTGATCTTTAAGAGTATTCAGCAGGAGAGGAATGTATTCAGTATAAATCCTAATACATTCAAGTGATGGATGGATGAAGATAGTTTCATATAAATGTTGTACTAGTTCTATCCAGTTAGGTTGAGATGACTCTATATCAATATCTTCACACTCTATACTCAGTAGTCTGATGGTTGTATGTGACTGTAACATGTTAGTAACAGCAGGTAGTACCTTTTCATAAAACAATACTGTTTTAATTTCTTGTGTTTTTTCCCAATTACAGTGTAATATGTATAATGACTTAGTTAGTTTGAAGGTCACTCTAAGCTCTGTGAGATTGCTCTTTTGGGAGATGACATTAAAAAAAGTTTTTATCTCTTCATTCAGTGGAATGAATACACTCAATTGTTGTAGATTGGTGTTGTGTCTGAGACCAGTTGTTAGGAAGAACAGAAATGAACTGGAAATGAGACTGGAACTATACCAGCTATTAATCTGAAGGTATTTCAGTGTTCGGTTTTGTGTCAGCATGCCTTGTAGACTAGTACCCACACTGCTGGTATCAAATGACTCCTTTATCATCACGCTCAGAGCTTTAAGAGTAGCATTGGTTTGTAGAATAGTAAATAGTTCAATAGCACTCTCAGCTGTGTCTAGTGGTAAAGTAAGTGTATGTAGACTGGGATGAGAGAGAAACAGAAGATGTGGTGAGTATGGTTCAGGTAGTATCAGAGAGTGTAATCCTTTGATTTGTGGAAGTAGTGATGTCATCAGTTTAGCAGAGTGGGACCATAACCAAATTTCTGCTCCTATCTCTAGAGCAGTCAGTGGTGTGTTCACCTCCCCAATATTCAGTGATGATGGTAGGAATAATACATTCAGTGAAAGAGCTTGTAATGTGGTGTTGGATATTAGTAGCTGCTCTATTACTCCATCAGGTTGAGGAGGAGGGTCAACACAAATCTCACCCGGGTCAAGATCATCAGGAAAAAATAGCTCTATATGTGATGATAATGATTTTATTGTTTTATTTTTTGTTATTCCTCTAATGATGCTATGAGTGATACTTGTCGAATAAAGGCCGCTTGTTTTAATTTGATACTTAAAATTCATTTCTTGTAGTGTTGAATTCATTTCTATACATTTCTCAAGTTTAGTTTGCTCATCTGTGTAGTCTGTATAATTGTCTAATGTTAGCAAGCCAGTACCCATTATCAAGTGCAGTATCTTTAACTGAGGAAGATTGAGGAATTGTAACAATACAAAAAAAGGAACATATTGGCCTTGATATAAGTCAAAGTAGCACTCCTGAATTTTGTATAGAAATAATGGTTGTAATAATTTGTGTATTAATTCATCAGTGGGTTCATGCAACACTACTTCCAGTTTCTTACACTGGGTTTGCAGTGAATTATTGGTTAGTCCAGCAGTGAAGACTGATAGTGACTGGTTAGTAGATACATTCCCAAGGTGCAAGTGATTCCATGTTGTGTTGGAATTGTTTATACAATAACTAAGACACAACCAGTCAAACAATGATAATGATACTCTCTCTTCATTGAGACACAGTGAGTGGTTGCTGATAGATTGTACCAATACTTCACATAATTTTTTGTTCTGTGATTCATACAGGAGTTGAAAAAGAAGAATGAGAATATGATAACTGATATGATCATATTCTCTCACAGGATTAAAATAGGTTGAGAAACAAGTGTCATATCTTATCAATGATTTCCTCATACATTGCAGCCCAAGCTGTGGTATATTAAAATACTGTTGATAGCTCTCATGTTTAAGGTGAGTTAGACCTGCCACAAACCTCAGACACATTCGAAAGTGATCATCATCAAAGTGTTCCTTAAACATTTCCTCTGTCTTCTTCTCATGCTTAGCTATCCACCATGCAGCTAAAAATTCTTGTATAGTCAAGTGAAGGAACTGATACTTCTTCTCATCATATTCTGTGAATGTTGTCATCAATCCGAGATAGTCTTCCTTGACTGCCTCACTCAGTGATTGTACTTGATCTGAAGAGAATGTCATTCTTGTATTAGCCAGGTTGGTATAAGCTAATTGACACATATCTTGTAAAGGTTTAGCTAATTGTGATGGTAATGAAGAAAGACTACCTAAAGCATATGGGTCAATATCATGTCTTGGTTTTATTTCCACATGCCTTCTGATAGTTTGCAGGATAAAGTTCTCATACAGTTCAGTGAGTGTTGTTGGTAAGCGTCCTCCTTCCTTGCAATAAACTAAGATGACCATGGAACAGACTAGTGGTACATAACACAATGAATGAACATCATTTCGTACTTTAAGATCATTAATGAGTTTTACTGCTAGTTGTGAGTCCTTACTGCTTTGAGTAGTTGTGAAATAGAATTTGTATTTCTTCCATATGCATGGTGTGTTTTCATCAATAATTTCTTGTGCTAGTTTTGCATTATTTTGAAGTGTTTGTATAATTACTGTTGATATTTCTTCCTTAGAAAACCCAATGACTTGAACATGTCTACTGAGAATATTCATTTTCAAAAGTGAAGAGGAGGCATAGCTACGAGAGGTAACAATTACTGAACATTGGTCTAAGTGCTTTCTATAAATGATACTAGCAGCTAATGAAGACTTTCTGAGTTGTTCACTTAGTTCATCCCAACCATCAAACAATATCAGTAACCCTTCTCCATTCTTCTTCTCAAACCATTCAGATACCATGGGAACTTCATAACGTCTATACTCAAACAGGTCAGCTAGTGTAGTAGCTGTAGCTATCTTGTTATTCCTTAAAGGACAGTAAAGTACCAAGTCATACTGTTGATGTACGAGAGTTTTATTGCACCACTTATTTAACAGTTTACGGCAGAGTGTTGTCTTACCAATACCAGGAGGACCGTCTATTACTACTCTGAGAGACAGAGAACTATCTGTGGGTTGGAGGACATTTTCAACACTTATCTCTTTGTTTTCAGTTAGTTTAACTATTTTATCAACTTGTCCTCTTAACAGATGCCAAGCTGACTTTGCTTGTGTGCTGGAGTCTTGTTTTTCTACTAGTGCTAATTTACCAAAGAAATTTTTTCCAATTCTTGGTGGCCAGTCTGTAGCAACAATAGGTTGGTGTTTGTAGTGCTGTCTCATATTCTCAGCATATCCTTGAACTTCATCAGGTATTGCACTAATAGATGTGACATTATCAGGTATAGACTGACCTAATGTATTGAGGTATAATGACTATATTGATCACTGATAAAGTACACACATACACACACACTCACCTAACTGGTGTAATATAGAGGTAGCAATATCTGTTAGTGTACAATGTCGTTGATTTATTAATACATGACATATATCAATAAGATACTGCTCTGGATTAAGAGAGGATTCCAACTGGTGTTCAGTGACATTCATAAGTTTAGTAGATTTAGTGTAATCATCAACTGCTCCTACAAGCATCTCTTGTCTAAATAGTTTTGGTATTAATCTTGCAGCATGAAGCTCATTTGTTACTCTCAATAAATCACCAGAAATAGCATTGATGAGTTTAACAGAATGAGTCCTTAATATATCCTTTGGATTACCTGCAGTAGTGTAACAGTTAATGAGTGTTGTATTAAGTGTATGTTTACCTGTTATAGGACCAGGATTGAGTTCAACATCTCCTGATAAGAGGAGGAGGAGAGAATAAAACAAGACTAATGACTGGAGGCAATGAATCATAACAAAAACAGTAATTTTACCTATTGTAAATACACTGTATGATAATATTAAATATTGTTAGTTTGTTTACCAGTTGGAGGAATAAAATTGAGCTTCATATATCTTAATAAAGATGAAGTAATAAGAGACAGAGCTGCTGGCAATTTAGATGTCTTTTCTCCTGATGTAGTACTGCCTGACTTGCTGTCTACTGCAGCTTTGAATGAGCAAGAGTGACGGCTATTAGCTGGTCTACTGGAGGCAGCTTGACAGTAGTTCCACAGTCCAATACTTGCTCTCCATTGAGAGACATCAATCATCTTGTACTATATTATGGAGGACATAACTTAAGGTTTAGCTATTTCAGTGATCACTTACACTACAATATAGAAAGAAGGACTTTTAAAGAGAAAACTTTTCTATGAAAAAAAAGCACAACGTTCACTTGAATGGCTAACCACAAGCTAGAGGAAGTCCAGGTCTGTTATAATAACATTCATGTGATTGATTACATACAATATGTAACCTAATGCTAAAATAGTATTATTTTATCAGTGATGAGGCCCCTTTGTTGCACACTAGACGAAACTGCTAAATATGTAGTTTTAATAGTTTCAAATCATCTTCATACTACTAAATTAGTTGTGCTTAAAACTATCATAATTTCCTCAACAACAAATGTGATAATGTTCACCATCATGCAAACAGTAACAGTCAAAAGGGGTGTATTCCTATTGCACAGTAAAGGGGAGAGGTTATACCTTTATCACAATATCTTATTTCTTTTTGGAGGTGCATTTGGAGTGGTTTCTGGTGTATCTGTTACCAAACAATTTATACATAACATATAGTCTTGCAAGCTAGATCAATTCTCCAACAGTGGGGAAGTGCATGGTGTATCAGGCTGTGACCATGTACATGTAATGTAGGTTAGAATATGGTCTTTTATGTAGAATAAAAAGTTCTAGCACAAGTAATAGAGCCTCTATTACTTGTGCTATTATAGAGCTCTGCTTACATTTTGTTACACACAGCACATACATCTGATGACAACAAAATGTTTTGAACCAAGCTTTACTGTGCCCTCTAGTATAACTGCTGTGACTCTAGCTTTTTCTCTCTCTATCTCTCTCTTACTATCTCTTTTACCATTTCTCTCTCTTCTTTGGGCTGATTTCCGTGTCATTTTTTCAAAAAAGCATGGGCAATTATAATACAAGGAAGTTTTTAAAAATTAACCTATTTTGGCCCTACCCAGCTTTGCGTAGGCGAGGACTAGGTACTCGGTTTGTCTGTGTTTCATTAAAAATGGTAACTTGAAAATTTGAGCTCAGAGTCAGCTCAAACTTCTACAAAACATTAGTTTTTATATTAAATTCGAAAAAATGAAAACCTAGTAATCACATATGCAAATGAAAATATCAAAAATGACAAGAAAGAAACACACAAAGCCAGAATATAGAAGACATAGGGGAATTAAAAGGAAAAAACAAAATTGAATTAGTCTATAAAATACTACTGTTATTATTATTTATATCAAGAATACATTATGCATGTACTCTAAATCTTGTACTTGATTATGTACTGTTGGTAGTGGTTTGCATGGTTGTTCTAATATCTTCTTTTGATATTTAAGAGTATCTTCTAGGAGACAAGGAGCAAGGTATCCAGTATAAATCCCAACATATTCAAGTGATGGATGGATGAAGATTGTTTCATATAAATGTTGTACTAGTTCTATCCAATGAGGTTGAGAATTATTTTCATCATGCACATCACTGTAGAACTTTACTGAAACTCAGCACCCTATTATTATGATTGTACTTTTTGTGTACATTCCATTAACAATCTTTTCATTTTCAATCATTTTTTAATAATAATAATAGCAAAGCTAACTGTTGAAATAATTGTACAGTATTATAGACAATGATCAATGAAAAATTTAATATATGAGAGGGAAAGAGAAAGTTTCAGGGAAGGGGGAAGATAGTTCCATTGATTAATTGTAGATGGGTAAAATGAGTTTGAATATGTAGATGTCTTGCAAGTGATTTGAGAAAAGTTACCGTTATTATTAGATCGAAGAGAATAGCAGGAGGGAGCTTTAATTTGTAGAGGATGGAATGGGGTAAATGAAAGATTTTCTTTTATCTTAAAAGGCAGGACAATTTTAAATTTAATCGCCAATGAGACAGGGAAGTAAGGTGAGAGAGATTTAGGAGATGGTGGTATGGGATAGACCATAATTTGAAGGCTATTTTTAAGCCAAAATGCTGAACAGCCTCCAGTTGTGATGAGACTGTGGGAGGAGGAGGATCCCAAATTGAGGAAGCAAACTCCAAAATTGGCCGAACTATATAGTGTCACATATAGAAGAAGAATAGTCTCTGTAGATGAATGCCTGTAAACCAAGGTATAGGAAAACACATGATCAATAGGTGATTGATTTAGATAAAGGAGAGGAAGAGTATCAAAGACTGAGTGACGTGAAAGAGAATATATTATGTATTTTGACTTAGAAGCGTTTAGAGATAGTGAGTTTTTGTGCATCCATGTACAAATAGAGTCAATTTCAGTTTGCAGGGAAGTCCAGTCAGTTGAAGGATTTGCGAGGGGATGAAGAAGTAGAATATCGTCAGCAAATAGAAACATTTTGGAATGAGGAGAAAGGATACCATTACTTAAATCATTAACAAACAGTAGAAAAAGCAGAGGTCCTAGAATTGAGCCCTGAGGAACCCCTGAAGTAATGGGAATAGGTGAGGAGATTGAATCTCCGACACAAACACTTTGTTGTCTGTCAGAGAGGTAGGAGGTGAACATTTTTTACATCATGCATATGCCAAACCAATCTATGATAAATCAGCTTGTATTGGCTCATCTTCAGGACAAGTGTCCAATAATTTAAAAATAACCATGGATAAATATTTTCAAAATGTTCAAAAATTAATTAGAAACTTCTACCTGTTTTTTTACTTACAAAACAATAATACCTATAACCAGCAAAAGCTACAAGTAATCCCCCCATAACAAATACTGTAATTTTAACATGCTTATATGAAATGATATCTGTATTAAGAATTCCAAATGATCCAACTACTGCTCCAGTTACTATTCCAGCCATTAAACCAGTAAATACTCCAAAACAATAGCGAAATATATGCTTAAAAGGATTACTTGAGCAGTGAAAATAATCTATTGTTATTACAAATAAAAATGATGGTTAATTTTTTCTAACTTGATTGGATAGGTTTGGGTTCTGGAGCTGTTGTCATAGTATATACTGCTCCAGTTATTGATCCAATGAAAATAGGTATGTATTGTGTAACATCAAAGAAGTAAGAAGTATAAATTAGAGCACCACTGAATATGACATATATTCCTCCTATACCAAGAAATTGACACACACTGTCTATAATGACCCTCCTATTAGTGATTCTACCAGGGTGAAAGGCTATGAAAATGTAATAAAATCTTTATTATAAAATTTAAATTATTACCATTATGCCTGACAGATTTATATTTGTCAAAAACTTCTGTCCCAACAAATGCTCCAAATGAACCACCCACACAAGAGCTTACAGCAAAAACAAAAAGATCTTCCATAAGTTTTGTGCCAGCATTGTTAACAAACCAATAAATAATTATTGCAGGAAAAATAATGTAGAATACTCTGTTTAGTCTTGCATTATAAGCATCTACTATAACTTGTGAAGAAAAATTAGTACAAAGAAGTAATTGACTTTAATAATCTCATCAATAATGCATATACCAAAATTGACCAAACCATTTTTACTGACTGATTGCTTACCTTGGCTAGATTGGCTTGTGGACCTACTGAGCTGGCCGTACTTAGTACCTGGTATTTCATTTCTTTCATTAAGATTAGTTTCTATACAATGTATAATAATGAATAAAATGTGTAAATAAATAACATTTTAAAAATAAAATTACTACATGGAAGTTCAATGCAAAGAGGAATCAAAAATTGATCCTATAACTTTTAGCAGTGTATGAACTATGAATGCTATGGTGACCTTTATCACCAGTACTAACTTATATACCTTGAGTTAGTGGTAGATCAATGTCAATCATGGAAAGCTGGTTATAAGCATTTGCACTTATACTGTAATGATCAGCTCCTAACTTTAGTAGCATTATTGCGTCAAAGTCATCATTTTCTTTAACTGAATCCATTAGTGACTGCTCAAAATCAATAGCATCATCGATGTTAAACTCCATCTCTCCACTAATAGGTCTAATAACAACTTCAAAAATTCCAATTCTATTCATTGAGCTCCTCCTGGCAATAAGTACATCTTTTACTGATTGGAAGATTGAAGTTGGTATCAGCATCTTAACAATGAGTGATCCATAATCAAAATAAATGTGGCTGAAGAGATCAGCATTTGATCCAAAGTAATGAATAAGGACTCTCTTGAAATTTTCTAAAGTCATTTCTTCCCATCTATCATGCAGCTTAAAAATGATAAGCACAGTGTGTTCACTAGTAGTTGGTGCCGGTAAAAACGATAACCTTTCTTTGACAGTTGATCGAATGTGCTTCAATTGGGATGATTCTAACAGCTTATCCATCTTATCAATGTACTGTGACAATGACAACTGCAATTCATCACCAGCAAGAAACTTATTTGTGAGCTTTCTAAGCAAGCTACAGTTGAGAAAATCACAATGTGGCCGAAGAGAATCAAACAATTCATCAATGCTATTTACTTGTAAGCTTGTCACTCTTCTTCTTAAATAGTCAGCAGCTTGTCGAGTAACTTGTATTAGCTTTATTTTACCTTCAGATATTAATTCTTCAAATTGAGTTCTAAGATCTGTAACAAGATCAGTAAACTGATCATAAAGTTTGTCAATGTTTCTTGCTACTTCGTCTTTAGAGCTGAGCTGAATTACAGTTGGTGATTGGTCTACAGCTGCTAATGGCACAACTACCTGAGAGTGACTTATTCCTCCTATATACAATTCAGTAAAATATAGCCCACCACTGAGCATTTAGCAATGCCGAATATTATCATTAATGAGCCACCATATTGTGTGGGATAGATGTACCAAAAATGAATGGGGAAAAAGTGACTTTTACAACTTTCAACTTACATATATATGCACACAGAAATACTCACTACACATTTGTTTTTGGTCTTGCTTTCACAATTCTTGGAAAAATAAAGAAACAGTGCATTTTGCCTATTCATCCCTGTACATTTATTCCACAACATGGTGGCTCATTAATATATTTTGTAGTGGGAAAAGTCTATAATATAATTTTCTCAACTTACCAAGGCTTTGCTGAAGTTTTCTTGCCATATCAGTGAGTTCAACTTTTTGCAATGAAGAAACAAGCCCATGGAAGACACTGTTAGGATCAGAATGAGCTCCAATTGTACAAGACACTGAATTAATAAGCTGGGTGGCTCTATCTAAAGGACTGCTCTTCGGATTGAGATGTACCTCTTTAGGAATGAGACCAGATGAGAAGAGGTGGTTTGAAAATTGTGTAATGACTGGAGCATTCCCAGCTAATAAATCAATAACATCAGCGAGATGATCTTTAACCACAATATATTCTGGAGCATCTACAAAGGAAAATCCATATAGTTATACAGCCTGCAAACACAAGCAATTGGGTCTACCTATAGCTGCCATCTCATGGTGTTTACTGTTTAGCCAACAAGCCAACGCCCAACAGCCCCAAATAAGTGGGTGGGAGATAATCTCATGATCTCATCACCAAAATGATTTTTTGTTGTTTTTTGTCATAAAAATAGTTCAATAAGATAAAAAGTCTGAGCAGTACTTATAACCAATAAAAGCCCCAATTAGACCACCCATAACAATTGCTGCAGTTTTGATATGGTTATATGGAATTAAATCACTAAATGCAACTGATCCAACCATTGCTCCAGTTCCTATTCCAATGCAAGCACGTAATACACCTAATCCAACACTAGACCTTGTACCATAACCTAATAATAATAATATACAAATACATGTATAATGATCACTGATTTTATTCTTACCAGATAATAATTGTCCAATAATTGGCTCTGGACCTACAGTCAAAGCACTTACTGCTCCCATTAATGCTCCAAAGAAAACAAACACAGCATAAGTCTCATAGTTATAATGAAAACTTATAAACGATCCCTTCACACTAAAATATACTCTTATAGCAAGAACAAATAATATGATTATTAATCCTATCCCCAACAATGTACGAGCAATGTCTACAGCAATCCTATATTTAGTAACTCTGCGAGAATGGCCACCTAAAGTTATAAAAAGCTCACAAATAGTAATACCATTATTATTATTATTATTATTATTATTATTATTATTATTATTATTATTATTATTATTATTATTATTATTATTACCAGGATATCTCATTAATTTGTCAAAAGCTGTGGTCCCTGCAAATGCTCCAACTGAGCCCCCTACTGCAAAACACATGAAACATGTACTATCATCATCATTAATTTTTATAATCAGTATAGTGACAGCCATTCCACAAACTCCTCCAAAAATAGTAGCAGAAACTATACTGAGGCTTCGACTTCTTAGCATAAGTCTCCCTGTAAAGCCTAGAACAATCATCATTAATTTTTTCTCGGCTTACAATGCCAGTATTGATTATATGGCATATGTAAATCACATAAATGCTTACCTAAAACTAGAGCTAGAAATTGGTTGGAGCTAACTGTTCTAGATGCTGCCAATACGTTGATGAGTGAGTTTTCTCTAATAGTAATATCATCTATAAAAAATGCACAATCAAAAATAACAAAAAGAGCTTGGTAATTATTGGGCATTAATTTAAACAATAAATGATGCTTGCCTGCAGGGGCGTAGCTGGGAAGGAAATGATGAGGGGGCCCAGGGATAAATGGCGCGCGAAGCGCGCCGAAAATTTGGTCACACCTCTTTTAGCACTCATATAGTGCACTAAAATAGCATTTTACGTATTTTAAAGCATGAAAATCTTACATTTTCAACAATGATTAATATAAAATGAATGTTTTGTTTCTGCCTACTTTTCATTTCTTGTACATTTACTGCTGTGCAATGTATTGTACATGATTACAAGGTGGTTAATTTATATTACTAGGTGGTAGGTAATAAAACAAACAATGAATATTATTATCTACAACAATTGATGGGGGGCCCATGCCCCTGTAGGCCCCCCCTCAGATACGCCCCTGCTTACCTGCTACTTCAGATATTCGTTGAACCACATAATTATCCCTCTCTTCACTATTGATAGCAAGTTGCCTTCTTCTTCTGTATCCTAATAGGTATAACAATTTTCAACAAAGGCAGAAATGCAAGACAACAAGCAAGTATAGATAATATTAATGGTAAAATGCATAAAACCCAACACTAAATTGAATGCTTACTTATAGCATCTTCATCGTAAGGATTAGCTCCTAACCTCAACAACAATGTTGCCTCAAAATCATCTCCTGAGTCCGTAAGCGACTTTTCAAAATTAATATCAGTGCTATCTATGCTCAAAACTATCTTTCCGTTGACAGCAACTTGAAAAATGCCAATTCCATTCATTGAGCTTCTCTTTGCAATAAGTATATCTGTTATAAACTGTAAGATTGAGGCTGGTATCAGCATCTTAACAATTAGTGATCCATAATCAAAGTAAATGTGACTAAAGAGATCAGCATTTGATCCAAAGTAATGACTAAGGACTCTCTTAAAATTTTTTAAGGTCATTTCTTCCCATCTATCATGTAGCTTGAAAATGATACATGCAGCATGTTCATTAGTAGGTAAAAATGATAGCTTTTCTTTGATGGTTGATCGAATGTGCTTTAATTGTGATGATTCTAACAGGTTATCCATACTATCAATGTATTGTGATAATGACAACTGCAATTCATCATCAGCAAGAAACCTATTTGCGAGCTTTCTAAGTAAGCTACAGTTAAGAAAATCATAATGTGACAGAAGGCAGTCAAACAATTCATCAATGCTATCTGCTTGCAAACTTGTCACTCTTCTTCTTAAATAGTCTGCAGCTTGTCGAGTAACTTGTATTAATTTTATTTTACCTTCAGATATTAATTCTTCAAATCGAGTCCTGAGGTCTGTCACAAGGCTAGTAAACTGATCATAAAGTTTGTCAATGTTTGTTGCTACTTCGTCTTTAGAACTAAGTTGAATTACAGTTGGTGATTGGTCTACTGCTTCTACTAATGGCACAAATGCCTGAAAGTGACTTCCGCCTCCTGCACAATTCATGAAGTACATTATACATTTCTAAATATTCTCAACTTACCAAGGCTTTGCTGAAGTTTCTCAGCCATGTCAGTGAGCCCAACCTTTTCCAATGAAGTAACAAGCCCACGAAAGACATCACTAGGATTAGAATGAGTTCCAATTGTAGAAAAAACCGAATTAATAAGTTGAGTGGCTCTATCTAAAGGACTGCTCTTCTGATTGAGATGTATCTCTTTAGGAATGAGACCTGATGAAAAGATGTGGTTTGAAAATTGTGTAATGACTGAAGCATTCCCAGCTAATAAATCAACAACATCAGCGAGATGATCTTTAAGTATAATGTATTCTGGAGTATCTACAAAAGAAAATAAAAGGAGTTTAGCAAGAGCAAATCAACCTGTATTTGCCATAGGAATAAGACTGATAAGACTGAACACTGCACAGTATGGGAAGCTAGCTGAAGCTCAAAGCCCCACCACCGGCACGCCCATTAATTACTGAATGGTATTTTTGATGAAATGTTTATTAATAGTGAGATAAAAGGTTTGAGCAGTACTTATAACCAATAAAAGCTCCAATTAGACCACCCATAAAAATTGTTGCAGCTTTGAAATAGTTATAAGGAATGAAATTACTAAGAGCAACTGATCCAACCATTGCTCCAGTTCCTATTCCAATGCAAGCACGTAAAACACTCAATCCAACACTAGATCTTGTACCATAACCTAATAATAATATACAAATACAGGTAAAGTGATCACTGATTCTTTATTCTTACCGGATGATGATATTTGTCCAATAATTGGCTCTGGGCCTACAGTCAAAGCACTTACTGCTCCCATTAATGCTCCAAAGAAAACAGACACAGTATGAGTCTCATAGTTATAACGAAAATTTAAAAATGAGCCAGCCATACTGAAACTCACACTTATAGCAGTAATAAATAATAGTAATATTAACCCTATCCCCAACAATGTACGAGCAACATCTACAGCAATCCTATATCTAGTAACTCTGCGAGAATGGCCACCTAAAGTATAAAATTCTCACAAATAGCAACATTATTATTATTATTATTATTATTATTATTATTATTATTATTATTATTATTATTACCAGGATATCCCATTAATTTGTCAAAAGCTGTGGTCCCTGCAAATGCTCCCACTGAGCCCCCTACTGCAAAACACATGAAAAATGTACCATCAACACCATTAATCTTAATAACAAGTCTAGTGACAGCCATTCCACAAACTCCTCCAAAAATAGTAGCAGAAACTATACTCAGGCTTTGACTTCTTAGCATAAGTGTCTCTGAAAAGCCAAGAACAATCATCATCAAATTTATCTAGGCTTACAAGTTACAATGCCAGTATTAGTTATATATATATATGTATATATATATATATATATATATATATGACATTAAATGTAGATCACATAAAGATTTACCTAAAGCTGGAGCTAGAAATTGGTTGAAGCGAACTGTTCCAGATTCTGCCAATATGTCGTTAAGTAAGTCTTCTCTAATAGTCATACGATCTATAAAAAATGCATGATCAAGAATAACAAAAAAGCATAATTAACACTTGGTAGTTATTAAACGTTAATTTAAAAAATAAAATGATATTTACATGTACTGTACCTCCTAATTCACATAATCGTTGACCAATTTGATCCGCAACCATGTAAGTAGCCCTTTCTTCACTACTGATGGCCAGTAGCCTTCTAGTTCTGTATCCTAATAGTTATAACAACTTTCAAAAAAGGCTCCAACGCAACAATATAAATTTACTTTGAGGAGGTATATAATCTTCAAAACCTTCATCATCTTCACTGGATGGGTTGGCTCCTAACCTCAACAATATTGTTGCTTCAAAATCATCTCTTGAATCCATAAGTGACTTTTCAAAATTAATATCAGTGCTATCTATGCTCAACATTGTCCTTCCACTAATAGCAACTTGAAAAATGCCGATTCCATTCATTGAGCTTCTTTTGGCAATAAGTATATCTGCTACAAACTGCAATATTGAGGTAGGTATCAACATCTTAACAACAAGTGATCCATAGTCAAAATAAATGTGACTAAAGAGATCAGCATTTGATCCAAAGTAATGACTAAGGACTCTCTTGAAATTTTCTAAAGTCAATTCTTCCCATCTGCTGTGTAGCTCAAAAACAACAAGTATAGTGTGTTCACCAGTAGTTGGGGATGATAAAAACGATAGCTTTTCTTTGATAGCTGATCGAATGTGCTTCAATTGTGATGATTCTAATAGTTTATCCATCCTATTAATGTATTGCGATAATGACAAATGCAATTCATCACCAGCAAGAAACTTATTGATGAGCTTTCTAAGTAAGCTACAGTTGAGAAAATCATAATGAGGCTGAAGAGAGTCAAACAATTCATCAATGTCATCTGCTTGTAAGCTTTTCACTGGCCTTCGTAAATATTCTGCAGCCTGTCGAGTAACTTGTACTAGTTTTATTTTACCCTCAGATACTAATTTTTCAAATCGATCCCTAAGATCTGTAACAAGGTCAGAAAATTGGTCGTAGAGACTGTCAATGTTTTGTGCTACTTCATCTTTAGAGCTGAGTTGAATCACAGTTGGTGATTGGGAAACAGCTGCTATAAGTGGCCGGATGCCATGGGTTTTCACTCCTAAAAATTGGCATATTTATTAGAATTTTCTGAAACCACCCAATTGTGCTTACCAAGACTTTGTTGAAGTTTCTTAGCCATGTCAGTGAGGCCAACTTTTTCTAATGAAGTAACAAGCCCACGAAAGACACTGCTAGGATTAGAGTGAGTTCCAATTGTAGAAAAAACTGAATTAATAAGCTGGGTGGCTCTATCTAAAGGACTGCTCTTCTGATTGAGATGTACCTCTTTAGGAATGAGACTAGATGAGAAGAGGTGGTTTGAAAACTGTGCAATGACTGGAGCATTCCCAGATAATAAATCAATAATATCAGCGAGGTGATCTTTAAGTATAATGTATTCTGGAGCATCTACAAAAAAAATAAAACGAGTTTAGCAAAGCAGAAAAATTACCTGTATCTGCCATTATGAATAGGCCACACCCCAAAAATGTTGAGCCACAGTATAGTATAGTAAGACACTCATTATGACAAATTAAAGTTAAAGAAATCATATTAAACAAAAAAGCAATAGGCATTCAATTGAATGGTGGTTCAATTCATCAAACAGCAGCAGCTGTTTGGGTCTTTATGTATTCTTGTACAGTACTCCAAGCTTCAGTATCAGTACCAATATCCTAAGGAAAAACTCGTAAATACAAGAACTACAACAAAACAGTTCTAATTAAAAAAGTCAAATTAAAATGACACATCAGTGTATATAGTGATTCCGGTTAAGCTTTTTATCCTCACAATAATTATCAGTAGAGGGAGCTATTTATCATCATTGTGCCAGTAACATCAATCAATGCTGTACATTAATAATAATTACCTTTACAACAACACAGCTGCATTTAACAATCTTCCTTGGCTTGCCATCTTTATCAATCTTGCAAAGACCAACCCATTCGCCCAGTTCTTCCTTATCCTCTACCTAACAACAGAAAGAGGATCGTGTACATAGTGCAAGGTAAGAAGGTGTAGGCATTAGTTCACTTTCAGGAGACTGATTTGGTGTTCCTTGCAGAGTGCTTCGACCAGCCTAAGATAACCAGCCTCAGAGCAGTTCTTAGCAACAATGCACAAATATGCTTGACGTCTATAGAAAGGAGGGAGAGATTAATTAATGTCAGTAATGCTGCAAGAATTCTCTTCTTGCTAATTTCGATGAAATCTCATGTACAGGCTGTACTACATTACAGACTTTTGAGTAACTTCAAAAATTCATAAAAAAACCAAACTTGACCGGAATCAGTTTAAACGTGCTACACAACATAAGTACATGTATATATGTATCAGAAAAAGTTATTAAAATGGAGAATTCTCTACTTTTCTTTTTTGATGAAATTTGACCAAAATCCCTGTACTATAGTACAGGGACTTTGGCCCGATTTTGAAGCAACTTCAAAAATTCGTAAAAAATCCAAACTTGATCGAAATCAGTTTAAACTTGCTACACAACATAAGTACATGTATATGTATCAGAAAAAGTTATTAAAATGGAGAATTCTCTACTTTTCATTCTTGAAGAAATTTGACCAAAATTCCTGTACTATAGTACAGGGACTTTGGCCTGATTTTGAAGCAACTTTAAAAATTCGTTAAAAATACAAACTTGATTGGAATCAGTTTAAACTTGCTACAGAATATAAGTACATGTATATGTATCAGGAAAAGTTATAAAAATGGAGAATTCTCTACTTTTCATTTTTGATGAAATTTGACCAAAATCCCTGTACTACAGTACAGGGACTTTGGCCAGATTTTGGAGCAACTTTAAAAATTCGTTAAAAAATCCAACTTTGATCAAAATTAGTTCAAACTTGCTACATAACATAAGAACATTAATATGTATCAGAAAAAATTATAAAATTCTCTCCCAATCATTTCAGCAAAATTTGGCCAATGACCCTGTAATATGAGTACAGAGACTAGAGCCCCATTTTGGAACAACTTTTAAAAAATTGTAATACATCTAAATTTGATCGAAATCAGCTAAAATATTATTAACGACATGCATGTGCCCCAGAAAAAATTTAAAAATTAAAATTTTTCTTAAAAATATCCTGTACAAAATATTTTGTCAAATATGATGGGATGGAATCCTCACTTGTCCAATGCCTTTACAGCTTCACGTAGACCTCTTGCCAACCCATCATGCTTCAGAGACTCCTTGAGTACTTCCTTCATCGCTTCCTTGAGCTTCATGCCCTGAGAAGAATCATCTCTACAAAATAAAAAAGGAAATCCATGCATGCCTAGTTTACAAAAGCAGCTTACCCAGCCGCCATCTTGACGGATTCCTCACTAAATAAAGAAGATAGAGAGGTAATATGTCCTTATATCTAACAAAAGGTAGCCTTTCTTCATGTTTTAAGGCTAGATGGAGGCTAAACTTACATGATATAATCTCAGGGGAAAGAGACGAAATGGACACAGCAAAGTAGCAGAATACAGAAACAACGTGTTTCTGCGCATGCTCACTTACTCTTGCCGCTGTTGGTAAACAAATTGCAAAATCCATGCATGGTTCATTAATAAAATCGCCACTCCTTTGTTCTAATTTTCAATTTCCAAAACAGCTTCAACAGGTTTATTTTCTTGTTCCTGTCGTCTATTGATACGATACGATATGGAGGCAGCACCTTCCAGCTTTTCCTATGTGATTTCTCCCGTCTCTATCATTACAACACTCACGATCCTTTCATCGGCTCTTCTCGTCACGCCTAAGCTCAGCTCAAAATACCTTTCCTTTTACAAGACTCTCAGCCCAGATAAACAAACATACTGGAATACCCTACCGGCTGCTATACTACACGCCATTCTCCTTTGCTCCCTGATATTGCTAGCGGTCCTAAATGGGTCAATGAAGACCTCTGAAGACCTTGTGGTCTCAAAATCAAGAATAGGATTCATTGCTCTACAAATGGCCTTCGGGTATTTTGTGGGTGACATGATGGTCTGCTTAATTCTTGAGCCTCTGAGACGTGATAAGGCCATGCTCTTACACCACACGGTCAGTACAGCATCAGTTTTCATTGGTCTCTATTACGAGGGATGGTGGATGAGTATTTCTTTCTTTCGACTCTTTACAGAGCTCTCGTCGCCTTTTGTTCATCTTCGTTGGATTCTGTCTGAGATAAATGTCCCTAAATCGTCCCCAATAGCCATTTTCACTGCCATCGGAATGACATCCTCTTTTCTTTTGACTCGTATCCTAGCCATGCCTGTAATCTGGTATGTTGTGTATGTCATTTCGAATCTGGAGAAAGATATTTACAAGATGTCATTTCCTCTGCCCGTGAGGACATCAGCCATTGTTTTGATGGTCTGTTTGGATGTGTTGAATGTCTACTGGTCAGGCAAAGTGGCCAAAGGATTCCTTAAATGGCTGGGCTCTGCCAAGAAAAAGGAGTGAAATTCCTTGGCAAAAACAAAATTATCATATTTCCTGTATTTTTATTGAAAACATAACACTGACTATGGATAGTATCTATTAGTGTTGTGCAGTACTCTATTTTCTGTTTTAGTTCTAGTTTTAGTTCTACCAACTACTCCATTTCTACTTTTAGTTCTAGTTTTAGTTTTACCAGTACTCCATTTCTAGTTTTAGTTCTAGTTTTAGTTCTACCAGTACTCCATTTCTAGTTTTAGTTCTAGTTTTAGTTCTACCAGTACTCCATTTCTAGTTTTAGTTTTAGTTTTAGATTTACCAGTACTCCATTTCTAGTTTTAGTTCTAGTTTTAGTTCTACCAGTACTCCATTTCTAGTTTTAGTTCTAGTTTTAGTTTTACCAGTACTTTATTTCTAGTTTCAGTTCTAGTTTTAGTTCTACTAGTACTTCCGTTTTAGTTTTAGTTTTAATTTTAGTTCCATGCCAAATTCTGATTCTGGCCTTATAGTTCTAGTTTTAGTCCTACTAATACACCATTTCTAGGTGATTTTTATAATTTTTTAATGAAATTTAATTTTAATAACTTAAAAGGGTAGCATTTTAGTTCTAGTTTTAGTTTTAGTTATTCAAAGTGGTACCATTTTAGTTCTAGTTTTAGTTTTAGTTATTAAAAGGGCTCCATTTCAGTTCTAGTTTTAGTTTCAGTTATTAAAAGGGTAGCGTTTTAGTTCTAGTTTTAGTTCTAGTGATTTACAAGTGCACATTTTAGTTTTAGTTTTAGTTTCAAGTCCTTAATAGCTAAATCTTTAGTTCTAGTTTTAGTTCCAGTGCTTTAATTTGTCAAATTCTAGTTTTAGTTCTAGTTTTGGTTCTTTGTATCAATGTAGTTCAGTTCTAGTTCTAGTTCTTGGAACTAGAACTAGGAAAAAAATAGGTGTACTAAAATAGATTTAGTTCTAGTTCCGTTGGAACTAGCACAACACTAGTATCTATGCACTGACACTGTAATTCTGTAAATTTTTTATCATTAATTTTGATGATTTTAATTATAAGCTAAGTGAGTCACGCCCTTAGGCGTGGCTCATTGTCATTGATGAGCAATTGAGCATGCATTAGGGCATTTAGGGGTATCAATGGCTACTTTACAAGCTGCTCCTGTTAGTCTAACTTACGTCCTTACTCTTCCTACATTACTCTCTGCTATAGTAACCATCTGTTCTTCTCTATTCATCGTTCCACTACTGAGCTATCGAATAAAGGCCTACAGAAAGAAGTTTAGCTATGACAAGAAAGTTTACTTCAACACCTTACCTGGTGCCATGCTACATGCTATAACAGTATGCACTCTGATATTCATAGCTCTATTGACTGGCTCTGTTAGCATTTGGGAGAGTTTAGCAGAATCTAAGTCCCCCATTGGTTTCATTACAATGCAGATCACTGCTGGTTTTTTCATTGGCGATATGATGGTATGTCTTGGCCTGAAACCTTTACGTGATATCAGTACCTTATTGCACCACACTGCAAGCCTGTCTTCT